GATCCAGGTCCCAGGATGTTGTCCATCCTAAAACCAAGGCCTCGAGGCTATAAGCTTGGGAGTCGTCTGCCAGCAGAAGCGCTCTTATTGGAGAGAAGAAATGAAAACGGATAAAGGAGGAAGGGCTCCCGACTAAGGCACAGATGACTATTTGTATCCATTCGGGGTTGTTCCTTGTGCCCTAATGAGCTTATATAGGTTGAGTTGATTTCTCAGTTAGCAAGTCCTTGGACTTCACTCCTATTGCTCCCTTATTTGGCCAGATTCTCATTCCTTATCCATCCACATCCCCCAGATGGATTCCAGATAGAATTCTTTCCATTTTTCTAACCTCGATGCCCTCTTCTTATACTTCTCTCGGACCCTCCTGTCTTTCTTAATCCCAGCGTCAGAAGTGACCTCACCACCTCCTTCTGGGCTCCCAGGGAAGCCTGGACTAGATCTATGAATTACATACATCTTGCTTGTTTTCCTTTACCAATCATGTGTCTAATTGTCACGACCATGACACGCTCCGTCAAAATTTAAAGATGTTAGTTGTTTTCAAGAGTGACTTTTTGATTCAACCTGTATTGCCTGGAGTTGTTGCTTGACTAGAGATTTGGTTAAATTTCAGGTAACATGAACTCCCTTTTAATAGAATGTCCAAGTCTCTGCTGTTCTTCTATCTGCTGGTTTGGTTTTTCTCACGAGGGCTCCCGATTGTGGGTCAACAGCTCCCTTACTTTTACCATCAGAGGTTTTCGGTGCCACATATAATACAAAGCTCTTACCACCTTGTTTTTGTAGAAATGAGAATGAAATCTTGGCTTTCTAATTTTACTCCTTCCCTTTTATTATTGGTTGCTACTGACTTATGCAACATGATTCTTCCCTGGGTACTCATCAACGGGTATAGTTTTCAGCTTGGCATAGCTCAGACCTCAAACTTTTAAAGTTTTAAAGCAGCCGAGTTGCACAGACGGTCAATAAATCACTCACTATCACCACTTTATTGCTTGTAAGGTGGTTACCCCGCTTTACCCATAGCGACTCTTCAATTTGATTAAAATGCAGTTTCATCAGGTCATGGTTGAGTCCTCCAGATATAAAAATACATAAAGCAAAGAGAGAAGCCTGTGCTCAAATATTTTTATAACTACCCTTCACCTCTTTAACCATCTACTCTGGCACTTTTGTGGTCCTCATCCTGTAATTCAAATTTCCATGCTCTTTGCCAAAGTAATTTTTATTTAGTGCTTATTCCAACCTCTTGTCTTTGTGAAAGTGCATTATTTTTTCCTGCTAACTGGTGGGGAGCTCTGGTCCTGCTGCAAAGCATTTTCTACATCTCGAATTAGCTCCTATGTGATCTGTAAATCAGGCTCTGAGGGTGGTATAACATGGAAGGTGTCTTGGTTTATTTGCGGTTCCTTTCCAGACACAGGGAGCCAGGATAGTGGGAGTGGAATTGTTATCTTAGGCAGGAAAAAGAGAAAGTCTCAGCTTGGCTACTGTCCTGGCAGCAGGAGCCCTTTTGAGTGTATTTTAAGAAAAATTAAAAGTGAGCGTCTGTATCCAGGGCTTCCTTGCCCAGGGCAGTGTGCTGCCAGCCTGGCATGGCTCTTGGCTTGTCTTAGTCTGTTTGGGCCGCTATAATCAAATCCCACGGACTGGGCAGCTTAGAAACAATAGACATTTATTTCTCAGGTCTGGAGGCTGGGAGTCTGACATTGGGGTGCCAGCACTGTTGGATGAGGGCCCTCTTCTCAGAGACTTCTTGTTGTGTCCTCACACGGTAGAAGAGGTGAGGGAGCTTTCTGGGGTCTCTCTTATAAGGGTGCTAATCCCATTCACAAGGGTTTTGCCCTCCTGATCTAGTCACCTCCCAACAGCCCCCTACCTCCTAATACCATTACATTGGGGGATAGGATTTCAACGTACGAATTTTGAGGGGGCACGGATGTTCCGACCATAGCACGGGTCGTGTGGCAGGTTGTCCTATTTCCTCGTCTATCTCCAGGGTCTCCCCCTACACCCCACCCCCTGTCTCTGTGGATTGCCTTGGCTCTTCCACCAGTGAGTTAATGTCTCGCCAGCATGCCACCCTGCTCTTGCTGTACATGTCGAATGTCTGCAGTGATGACACACAGGCTGTCTGCCCGAGTGCATCTGACAAGAGCACGAGTGGTTGGTCTGGTTGCAGTGATCGGATTTGGAGTGGTGTGCCTCAACCCCGTTTGCTTCTCCAGCCCTCTTGTTTTACGCCGTGCTTTTTTTGGGGGTGGGGGAGCATTTTATTTTATTATTTTATTTAAATTCAGTGAATTAACATATGATGTATTATTGGTTTCAGAGGTAGAGGTCAGTGATTGATCTGTTGCATATCACACCCAGTGCTCATCACATCACGTGCTCTCCTTAGTGCCCGTCACCCAGTTACCCTGTCTCCCCCCACCTCCCCTCCAGCGACCCTCAGTTTGTTTGATTAGGAGTCTCGGGCAGCCCCGGTGGCACAGTGGTTTAGCGCCGCCTGCAGCCCAGGGTGTGATCCTGGGGACCCGGGATCGAGTCCCACGTCGGGCTCCCTGCATGGAGCCTGCTTCTCCCTCTGCCTGCGTCTCTGCCTCTCTCTCTCTCTCTCTCTCTGTCTCTCTGTCTCTCTGTGTTACTCGTGAATAAATAAAATCTTAAAAAAAATTTAAAAAAAGTCTCATGGTTTGTCTCCCTCTCTGATTTCATCTTATTTTTTCCTCTCTTTCCCTTGTGATCCTCTGTTTTGTTTCTTAAATTCCACATATGAGTGAGATCATATAATTGTCTTTCTCTGATTTCTTTCACTTAGCGTAACATCCTCTAGTTTCATCCACACCATTGCAAATGGCAAGATTTCATTTTTTTGATGGCTGAGTAGTATTTCATTGTAGATATATACCACATCTTCTGTATCATGCATCTGTCAACGGACATCTGGGCTCTTCCCACAGTTTGGCTCTTGTGGACATGGCTGCTATGAACATTGGGGTGCAGATGCCCCTTTGGATCACTACCTTTGTATCTTTGGTATAAACACCCAGTAGTGCAGTTGCTGGGTCGTAGGGCAGCTGTATTTTCAACTTTTTGAGGAACCTCCATCCTGTTTTCCAGAGTGGCTGCGCCAGCTTGCATTCCCACCAACAGTGTACGAGGGTTCCCCTTTCTCCACATCCTCAGCAACATCTGTTGTTTCCTGACTTGTTAATTTTAGCCATCCCGACTGCTGTGAGGTGGGATCTCCTTGTGGTTTCAATTTGTACTTCCCTGATGAGCGATGCGGAGCGTTTTCTCATGGGCTCGTTGGCCGTGTGTAGGTCTTCTTTGGAGAAATGTCTGTTCGTGTCTTCTGCCCATTTCTCGACTGGATTGTTTGCTTTTTGGGTGTTAAGTTTGATTTCTTTACAGATCTTGGATACGAGCCCTCTATCTGATGTGTCAGAGTTTGCAAAAGATCTTCTCCCGTTCTGCCGGTTTGGTTGTGTTTTGGCTTTGTCGCCTGTTTCCTTTGCTGTGCAGAAGCTTTTTATTTTGATGAAGTCCCAATGGTTCGCTTTGCCTTTGCTTCCCTGGCCCTTGGAGACGTGTCTGGTAAGAAGTTGCTGTGGCCGAGGTCACAGAGGGTGCTGCCTACGTTCCCTTTGCTTTGGCAGAACTTGAGATTTTTCAGAAATGCATGTGATCGATCTTCTGTATTTGTGAATCTGACTGCTCACGAAAATTCCCTTGTAACCCCCAGTGAGCACGTGCTTATTCACAGACACGTGCGTGTGCAGAGTGGCAAAAAGTTTGACTCCCCAGAAGGGCACGTTCCTAGCTCCGCCATCGTATTTCGGCTCTCAGACTATAAACAAACGTCCTTTGTACGGACTGTCTAGTGCCATGGTTTTCACATCTTTGTGCCTTTCTTTTTTTTTTTTTTTTTTAAGAATTTTTTTTTTTTTTTTTATTTATGATAGTCACAGAGAGAGAGAGAGGCAGAGACACAGGCAGAGGGAGAAGCAGGCTCCATGCACCGGAAGCCCGATGTGGGATTCGATCCCGGGTCTCCAGGATCGCGCCCTGGGCCAAAGGCAGGCGCCAAACCGCTGCGCCACCCAGGGATCCCATCTTTGTGCCTTTCTGTTGGTAATGCTGCTGTCTGGCACGGCCCCGGAGTGCCATGCTGGCGTGCGCCTGCTATTGCGCGTGCCTCATGGAGAAAAGCCGTTTGTCAGATAAGCTTCAGCCAGGTGTGAGTTGTAGTGCTGTGGCCGCGACTTCAGTGTTAATGAGTCAGCAGTATATATTCAATAAGATGTCTTTAAGCAAAAACACAAAACGCAAGGTTGTACGTATATTGACCGGTTTACTAAGTTGTGACCAGAGGCCTGCAGGAACCTAGCCCTACAGATCACCCAGGAACATTGCCTCAGAATTCTCTAATTTGGTGTTCATGGTGACTTTATAGGACATAACGACCGCAAATAACAAAAATTGACTGTGCTACACACCGACTGTTGGTGTCTCCCCCAAGTTATGTGTTGGAACCTAACCCTCAACGTGAGTCGTTAGGAGGTGCAGCCCTTGGGCTGTGATCAGGCCGTGAGAGCTGAGCCCCCCTCAGTGGGATTAGTGTCCTTGTAAAAGAGACTGTGGAGAGCTCCTCTGATGTTCCCAGCATGTGAAGACACAGTGGAAAGGTGGCTGTCTGTGAACCAGGTTGAGGGTCTTCACCGGACACCAAACCTGCAGCGCCTTGGTCTTGGACTTTAGTCTCCAGGACTGTGAGAAATAAATTTCTGTTGTTTCTAAGCCGCCCAGTCTATGGTGCTCTGTTAGAGCAGCCCGAAGCGACTAAGACGGACTGGATAGATATTTCATTACAGCACAGGGGCCCATGCGGAGATGATTCTTTCTGGCATAAGAAAATACCATGCGTGGCTCCTTCTGTTGTGTCTGTGCAGATGTCCCGTATGATGGTTTCAATCGCAGGCTTTCTCTCCCAGGTGTAACTAGTATGGTCAATGCAGGAGCGATGAGTGGCTCTGGAAACCTGATGGATTTCCTCGATGAGCCATTCCCTGATGTGGGGACATATGAAGACTTCCACACCATCGACTGGCTACGGGAAAAGTCACGGGACACCGACAGACACAGGAAGGTAGGTGGCACTCATAAAAGACTTGTTGAAGAGGATCCCTCCAAACAGCTAGGCCATGCTTTCATGGGATAGTTACCGAGCCAGGGTTAGGGTCGCATGTCACAGACGGGGCTAGATTCTGAAAAGGAGAAGGACTAGCTGGAGAGGCAGAGGTGTGGACAAGCAATTACAGTGTTACCTGCTCTGGGTGGGAGGCTGTGTCATACAGAGCTTCGGTGTGGAGGGCGATGAGGGGACTCTGGAACCAGACAAGTCAATTACAACCTGCCCTTGACACCTTTAGGCTGGGTGATCTTTGGGGTGACATTTCTAGACCTGGCTTCTCATCTACAAGGATGGAGGTCATTATATCCAAATATTGAATGAGTTGCGTGTGTACGAAAGCACATATTCCAATGCCTGGCATCTAGTTGGCGATCGCTATATATTTTAGTGGCCACCCTAAGGTTGGGTATCAGATGCTGTGGGATCACTCAGGAGGGGGGGTTAGAGAAGGATGATTTAGAGGGTGACATTCCAGTTGGTTCTTGAAGGTTCTCTAGGAGTTTGCCAGGCAGAGAAAAGGGAAAGGATTCTAAAATCAGAAGCAGCCCTTCCTTAAGTCACAGAGGCAGGAGAGAACATGGCCCGATAGGTCGGGAAGCTGTGAGGCCTGGTGGAGGGTTCACAGAAGGGGAGGATAGAGGTGAGTCTGGCAGCCCAGGCTGCGGAGCAGAGCCCCTCTGGGGTGACCCAGCAGGCCGTGAAGGGGCGTTCGGGTTCCATCCTCCTGGTCCCAGAGTGCAAGAAAGGGGCATCGCAGACGGAGAAACAGGGAGCTTGGAAACTAGTTCAGGAGAAAGAGGAGGCAGGTGTGACAAGGCAGTGAAGTGCGGATGGAGAGGGGCTCAGGGCCAGTTACTCAGAGGAGCCCCTGACAGGGTCAGGGGGCGGGTGTCGGGGAGAGGCAGGGCGTGGGGTCCTGAACGAGGCCTGGCTGCGGCGGGCAGGGGGTGATGTCCCTGTTGGCAAGAAGGAAGAACAGGGGAGCAGCAGCTGTGTGGGGGCGGCCGTGAGTCGCGTCTCAGCCCCTGGGAGTGAGCGCTGGGGGCGCTGGGCAGGTGGCTGGAACCCCACAGTGCGGGGGGGGGAGGTGGGGCTGTGGGGGTACAGAGGGAGAGGTCGGGAGGTAGTCAGAACTCTGGGCACTGCCGGGGTTGGGTAGGTGCCCTGGGGGGCCGGAGGGGTGCCTGCAACAGACCCTGCGGACCAGGCGGGGACCAGCAGAGGGGTCCCGAGTAAAAGGGTAAAAGGAGGCGGCGGTGGGGATGGGGCTGCTGGCCAGGTCACCTGTGTGGAGAGGGAGGGGAGGAGACAGACCCACCGTGTGGGGACTGCTGGTGGCCTCGGGGCAGCCCCCTCCAAGCGGGGGGGGAGAGCTGATGTCAAGAGTGCCCACGTCATCCCATTTCTCGCACGGCCCAGCAGAGAGTGGGGCGGAATCAAGAAGAGGACCCAGCCTCCTGGGTGCCAGGTGGAGGAAGCGCAGGGGCGGCCTCGGGCCTGGCGCCCTGGAGCCCTGGGGCCGAGTCCTTGGGCCGGTCCCGCTGCCACCTGCTGGGGCACCTGCTGGGGCACCTGCTCCTCCCAAGGAGAGTGTTCTCGGAGCCCCACCCGCTCACACACACAGTCCTTATGGCTCCTTTGGTGCTGCCGTAGCCATAGCCGGGTCGAGGGGCTGTGACAGAGGCCAGGCCACCTGCACAAAGATCTTTCCAGAAAACGTTCCAAGGGACTCCGAGAGGCAGGTCGGGAGGGCGGGGGGTGCTGTGACAGGGCGCCCGGAGGCGGTCCAGGTGGCCAATGCGCAGTCCTCGCCGTCAGCACTTGACCTTGCAGACGAAAGGAGGAAATGAAGGAAATGAATTCCGTGTCGAAGAGCTGCTGCTGTGGGCAGACCGCGAGGAGGGTTGAAGTCACTCTGATATAAAATGGTGACAATGAATTGCTGTCTCCCTCCAGTATGGCTTCTGAATCATCACAAATCAAGTCACACTTAGCAAGTTTTCTTTTAATTGAGTGAATTTGGGGGCGGGGGCTCCTAAGTCCTTGGCGACCATTATGGCATCTCTACAGCTCTGTGAACCAGAAGGCCCATGTTGTCATTGCACCAAGTGGCGGGAAGGGTAATGGAAGTGGCACTTTAGTCGCTTAATTACATTCATTTTCTCACTCTCCCCCATCTCCCCCAAGGACACGCTTTCAGGGAAGGAAGCGTGAGTTGGAAAACGTATCCAGCCTCAACCACTGTGTCTTTTTGTTTCCAGATAACCAGCAAAAGCAAGGAGTCCATATGGGAGTTCATCAAGAGTTTGCTGGATGCGTGGTCAGGATGGGTGGTGATGCTGCTCATCGGCCTGCTGGCGGGTACGTGGAGGGCGCGCGGTACCCCCGGGCCACAGCTGGAGGTGCCCGACCTGAGCGCCAGCCGCTCCTGTCGGGGATGGTGTTCTGAAGACGGAGTGTTTCTCTTTTACCCCGTGCAAGGGGTTCATGACTTGAAATAGCGAAGAGCAAAACACACAGCCGTACATTTAACATGAAAGGTATCCCCAGTAAGGCAGGACCCCAAGGCATGGGCCCAAGCGCGTTATTGCAAACAGGCCGGAATTAGAGAGCCGGCCGGCCGTGTCTGCACAGCACCAAGGTTTATTGCCAAGCTGGATTTTATCGAAAGCACATATTTTACATCCTGTAGTACTCGGTTATGCAGAAGGCAAGCGAGTACAGGAAAACTTTGATCTCTAATAATAAAAAACACCATATGAGAGTGGTCTCTAGCAGCACTGCCGGGCCTTGGAATGGATTTTACGCATCCTAAGACACTCAAAATAATTCGAGACCCCCGCAGGGTCTGAGGTAGGCCCAGGGGAAATACCTCCAGCCCATGCGTTGTTCTGACCCACAGGGACTCTGCGTCCTTCAGTTTTATAATCCCAGCACCATGCTTGCGAGCAGTAGATGCTGCCAGAGGTGAACGGAGGAGTATCTGGGGGGGAGACCTGCCCTTTTAATATCAAATGTTCCAGCTCTCCATAGCAATCGTTTCCGGAGACGTTATTTCCTTTAGAAGGCTGTGAAGGTTAATGTCTAAGAATAAGAAATCTGAGTGCACTAAAAGCGATTCGCTTAATAAAAATCACCTACCTGTAATAACATAATAGTTGTGGTTATAGGATTGATCAGCGAATGACTGTAGTAAAGGCCGAATATAGCAAATGGTCCAAGAAGGACGGAATACTAATGAGCCATAGATACAAATTTTGTGATTACAGAGGATTTTGATTTCTGCGCATTAAATTCCGTACCCGGTTTCAGGAGGGGGCTTGGTCGCCAGGGAGGGCCCCCATCAGCCGCGGCCCAAGCTAAAGAGCCAAGAGCAGTGCTCACGGGGGATCCTTTTACTCTAGTCACGGCGGCTCTTCCCGCATTTCCCCAATTTTAGCCTTCCTTTCCCAGGGGCAGCCCCGGTGTAGAATGGCAGCGGTGTTGGCAGGGAATTCGGTTTCATGGCTCCTCGGTGTTTCACCACCAATTTGACTGCTGCCATGAACACCTTGGAAAGCGGGCAGGGTAGGCATTTGCTGTGAATTTTGATGTCTTTATTTAGAATAGATTTATGAAACTGTATACCGTGTCATTATTCTTGGCTTCCAGGCAGGAGAAATAAATAGAGGAAATGAAGAAATCCGGAATAGATGTTGTAGCGTCTGGCCAGAGTAGACAGCCCAGTATGGATTTATTGCCTCACACAAGAGCCCGATTGGGCTGTCTTTAACAAATCTGGTATTGACCAGTTCGTTTCACTGTCAACCCAATTTCCACCAGTTCTTTCAGGAAGAATCACCTGGGGAATGAAAACAAAAATTTTGCTCCCTGGGCTTCAGATAAATAGTACCTCTGGAGTTGGTACCCTAGCTTTGGGGTAAAGCCCCCCTCCTATCACTCAGCTCCCCATACCTGTGATTCTTTTTTTTTAAGATTTTATTTATTTATTTGACAGAGAGAGAGAGAGAGAGAGAGAGCACAAGCAGGGGGAGCAGCAGAGGGAGAGGGAGAAGCAGGCAGGGAGCCTGATGTGGGGCTCCATCCCAAGACCCGGAGGTCATGACCTGAGCCGAAGGCAGATGCTTAACTGACTGAGCCCCCCAGGCGCCCCTGCACTTGTGATCCTAATGTGCAGCCAGGGCTGAGCACCCCCACTGCAGGGCGCTCTGTGGACACCCCAGCAGACCAACACAGGAGGAAGGTGAGAAGGGGGTGATGCTGGCGGTGAAGGTGGCTACAGTGTGCCTTGAAGGGAAAGCCAGCGAACTGTGTCCCCTTCACTTTTCTGTTCCCGGGTTGTTCTTACAATGGGGGTTGGGACTCAGCCCCGCCCCCCCGGCCTGTCATCTCCCCTCCACGGCACCCGGACATTAGGACATCCTATTCTGTCTCCGGGATGCAGAGGCCGCAGTTATCGGGAGCCGCCACTGGGTGTCGCTGTTGCTCCACGAATGAAGCCCGCGGCGCTGTCGCCGAGTAGGCCTGGAAGCTGGGCCTGGAAGCTGGGGCGAGGGATGGCGTGATTACCAGCGGGGGACCCCTCCCTCACCTCCTTTAAGGCTTGGTTCAAATGGCTTCTTTGGCTTGAGGCGTTCCCTGACCACCTTTTTTTTCTTTTTTTCCCTGACCACCTTTTCTAAAAGTCCTCTCCCCCCTCAGCCTTGTGCACCTCACCCCAGTGTGTGTGTGTGTGTGTGTGTGTGTGTGTGTGTGTGTGTGTAAAAGCTTTATTAAGATCTAATTCACATTCCATACAGTTCACCTCGTTAAATTGTACAATGCAGCCATTTCTAGCATATTCCCAGTTGTAAAACCATCGCTGTGCTCAATTTTAGAACATTCTCATCAGCCCCCAAAGGACCTCCGTACCCCTTAGCTATCAAGCCCCAGAACCACCCCCCCTTCCTCCCAGCCCCAGGAAGCCAAGAATCTACTTTGTGTCTCTACGTATTTGCCTGTTCTGGACATTTTGTCTAGTGCAGACGTACAGCACGTGCTCTCAGGATGAGCTGCTTCTCTGGCATCATGTCTCCAGGGTTCGTCCTGGAGCACACATCCCTGCTTCGTTCCGTTTTGCGGCCAAATGCTGTTCCATCGTGTGCCTGGACCGCGTTTTTTATCTCTATTCAGCAGTACGGGCCTATGGGTTGTTTCCACTTTTTGGCTCTCGTGGACCGTGCTGCTGTGGGCCTTTGTGTGCAAGTCTTCGCATAGACGTGTGTTTTCATGTCTCCTGCGTGTACACCCAGGAATGGGATTGCTGGCTCAGATGGCAGCTCTACGATTAACCGTTTGAGGAACTGGCAGGCTGTTTGCCAAAGTGGCTGCGCCCCGGTAACGTGCCGTACTTGCCTCCCTAGCACTTACCACCTTCCAGCAGAGGCCCTGGTTTACTTGTCCGGTGTCTTTCCCGCCGTGACGTGGGATTCCACAAAGGCAGGGGGCCGAGTCTGCTTTGTCCACTGCCATCTCCCCAGGGCGCGGAGTAGGGACTGGCACATAGTAGCCCGGTACTTAGTAGATACCCCTTGAGTGGATGGATGGATGCACCTGGGTTTTCTGATTCTCATTCATTATTTATTGCACTATGGATATAAATTCCTGCCACTTACCCGACACAGGTACAACAGTGGACAAGGCGAGTGGCTCTTGCCCGCTTAGAGTGGACACAGAGCCTGGACATCTGGCCTGACCCCTGCCTTTGGCATGCAAACCACACAACAGAATTTCCCCTACCCTGGCACACACTTACAGACTAGACACTGTACACACATCTGCATGTGCGCACACACACACACACACGCACACACACACTCATATTAGGATATGAGAGGTATGGTGATATGGTGATGGGGGAATGCGTGGGAGGTACACCTAGCCCAGACTCAGGAAATTGGGAAAGGCTTCCCAAGGGAGGTGATGAAAATACTGAATCTGGAAGATAAATAGGAGGTTGCCAGGTCTGGGAAGGACGGTGTTGCCTGAGGTGGTGTAAAGAGGAGAGCTCCAGGAACATGGTGTGGGCAGGATGGGGGGTTAGTGATGGAAAGAGAGGAGGCAGGAAAGGAATGAGAGGCCGGCTGTTTGAGTCAGAGACCTGCTAAGGATTCAGGCTTCCTCTCAAGAACAGTGAGCAGGTTTCAGTGTAACAGAAGAGCAGGGAAGGGTGAGCCCTGATGCAGGTGTGTGGATGCAGGTGAGGAAGTGATATTGTAATAAGGATCTAGTCAAAGTTAGAAAAAGTCAGTAGCCCGGAAGTATTCCCTACCTCTATAAAAGACTCTGGAATGGATTATTCTAGAAAGAGCTCCAATGTAGCCTTCTGTGGCCCGCTGCACGCTCTATTTTATCTCACTTCTGTCAGCCTTTGAAGTAGTTACCTAGAGGCACCTGGATGGCTCAGTTGGTGAAGCAACTGCCTTGGACTCAGGTCATGACCCTGGGGTCCTAGGATTGAGCCCCACATTGGGCTCCCTGCTCAGTGGGGAGTCTGCTTCTCCCTCTCCCTCTGCCTCTGCCCCTCTTCTCTGCTTTCTCTCTTAAATAAATCTTTAAAAAAAAGTCACCTACTTACATAGATCCACAATCCTTTATCCATAATTTTAAAAATCCAGAAAGTTCTAATGGGGATTTTCCAAATTTGGTGGCAAAACCTTACTTAACAATGAGGCTATTATAGTCATTATGCCTCCATTTTGTCTGAAGTGTCAAATTTGCCTGAGAAATATCAATGTGTGTGATCCCAGCATCGTGTCCCAGAAGCCACTGAGGGGGTTACCTCCTCTATAGGGCTTATGTACCCTGTTTCTAGAATTTGGAATGGGTGAATTCTGAAAGGTACTTGGCCCCAGTGGCTTGTGATGACTTGAGCCTTGTGTGTCTGTCACTCCTGTCGGATTTAAGCCAACCACGTACCAGGTATCCTTGGTCACCTCCTCCTCTGGCATGGCTTGCCTGGCTGCTGGGCTCCTGCGTCGGCCCCCAAGCCGCGTGTTCTCCTGCGTCATCACAGGCGGTTCCTCTAAGTGACTCTTGCTGCTTCTTCCAGGCACCTTGGCTGGGGTCATTGATCTCGCCGTCGACTGGATGACCGATTTGAAGGAGGGGGTCTGCTTGTCTGCCTTCTGGTACAGCCACGAGCAGTGCTGCTGGACTTCCAACGAGACCACTTTTGAGGACAGGGACAAGTGTCCCCTGTGGCAGAAATGGTCGGAGCTGCTGGTGAATCAGTCGGAGGTGGGTGTCTGGGCAAGGGCCTGGCCGGGACCACCCGCTATTCCACAGGCACTTTGGAACACCACTGGGCCTTCTGTGAATGTCTGTGCTTTCACGTTCAAGGGTCTGTTCTGATCACCGTCCTTGGTGCAATACCAGTGCCACTTGGCTTTTTCTAGCTCTCATGTGCAAACTTAAGTCGGAAAAGCCTTTCCTCTTGATTCACATTCACGAAATATATATATATATTTGTACAAGTCTTGTTAATTTTCTTACTGAGAGAGTGGTTTGCTGAGGGTGCTAAAGAGGTAGGGTTGCATTTTATACCTTCTAGTAAGAAAAGAAATTATCTTTTTTTTTTTTAACAAAAAAACAATACCAGCTTTATTGAGCTAGAATTCACTCGGTATGCCATTTAAAGTGTACAGTGCACCGGCTTTTAGAATATTCAGAGTCATGCTACTGTCACTACAATATAATTTTAGAACATCTTCGTCATCCCAAATGAAACCTTGTACCCATTAACAGCCACTCCCCATTCCTCCCAACTCAGCAGCCCTAAGCAACCCCTGATTTTCCTGTCTCTGAGGGGAATCCTACTTTGGTGTCCGACTTCTTTCACTCAGCATCATGTTTTTCCGGTTCATTCATGTCCCGGCGTAAATTGGTATTCCATTTCTTTTTGTGGCTGAATCCTATCTCACTCTGTGGCTAGACCATATTTATCCACTCATTAGTTGAGGAACACGGGCTGCTTCCACCCTTTCACTGTTAGGAATGATTTTGTTTCGGACATTTGTGTGCAAGTTTTTGTGTGGGCATATTTTCATCTCTCTGGGGTCTCTGCTTAGTTGGGGAATTTCTGGGTCATGTGGTAACCTTTTAAACCCTTTGAGGAACTGCCTGAATGTTTCCCGGAGTGATTTCATCATTCTCTATCCGAAACAGCCACATGTGAGGGTTTCTGTTTGTCCACCTGCTTGCCAACACTTGTGAGTGTCTGGATTTGGTTCTAGCCCTCCTGGCAGGTGTGAAGTGTCATCTCAGTGAGGTTTGTGTTCTCGCCCTCCGATGTATTTTTATGAGTGCATTGCAGAGTATGTTCCTGGGCCTTCTGTCAAGGGAGGGGCCCAGGCGTAGCGGGTGTTGTGGGGAGCTGCAGACTGGGTGTTTGCCTTTGTGGCACTTAGAGCTTCAGATCTGTACAAAAAGATCTTCATTAGGGAAAAGGGTTAGCTTGTAACTGAATTCAGTGGTGACTGCGGTGACTATAGGTCATCGACATCAGAAACCCAGGTAGAGGGGAACTAGGTTGGCAAGATTCACCCTAAGGGTAGTGCAAAGATGTATTTTTGGAAAATGGATGTGATTTCTCCCTTTTCTCCCACCACCACACACTTTTAAAACTAATTAATTAATTAATTTTGCCCAATAGACTTAGCATAGCTGAAGATATGTGGAATGTACTTTGCCATTTTGCTAAACCTCTTCCTCCATGGAATTGAAAACTAATTCCTTCCCATCTCAGAAGTAGATGGGGCTCTTGAAATCTCACACGTTCTCGGTGTTCTCCATTACTTCCCAAAATAAATTCTCTACTGGGGTTGATGGGAGTGGGCAGGCAAAATTGGCTGGACACCTTATTTTATTTCTTGTCTCCTATTTGCAATAGGTTTTCTTTAGGGGGAAATAGGGCTGTCCATGTTTTCAACCGTTTCTAAGATTTATACTTTGATTCAAAGAATGCCTGTTAGGAAGAGTGAGAAGTGATTTTTAGTCTCAAAAAAAGTAGGGTTCTAAGTGGGTGAAATGCATTGCTCGGCCCGACTTCTCTCGCATAGGCTGTGAATATATGGGGCCGCAAAGGCCAGAGCGGCGGCCTGGAGCTCGCGTTTGCAGTTACCAGGTGCCCGGAGCTGCAGCCTGTCCTTCCTTTCGGCCCTCACTGGGGTGCTGCGGGGGTGGCGGGAGGCCCCCAGGCCGGTCCTCGGCGCAGAAAGCACTGTTAGGCCGTCGGCTGGCTCGGACTAAAGGGTTCAGGGCGTTCTCCCGCAGGAGGCGGTGGCCCTTCCCCTGCAAAAGTGCCAGGCGGGCTTGCTGAAGCGCATTTTGCTGCCCTCACCTCGGGGGGTGCAGCCTGTGCTCCCTGCCGAGGGAGGCCAGTCCCCCGCAGAGCTGGCCGAACCTTCCACGGCCTTCGGCAGAGGCCTCCGCTGCACCCTCCGTGGCCCCGGTGGGAGTGATGACGTCCACGCAGGCGGGCGCCCCGGTGGGAGGCGGTGTCAGCAGCTCCGGGAGGGCCCCCCATCGCAGGAGCAGCGGCCAAGCCCCCCGGGGCGCCCAGGGGTCGGGGCGCTGCTCGGCCCCGCGGCGCCTCACGGTTCGTCCTTGCCTCGCGTGTTTAGGGGGCCAGCGCGTACATCCTGAACTACCTGATGTACATCCTGTGGGCCTTGCTGTTTGCGTTCCTGGCCGTCTCCCTGGTGCGCGTGTTCGCGCCCTACGCCTGCGGCTCGGGTATCCCGGAGGTGAGTGCTGCCCCCCTTGCTCTTGCGCCCGCACAAAGCCCAGGCCCGAGCACCTGCTACCTGTCAGCCCATTTGGCCCTTACAGCGAGCCTATGAGGTAGCTTCTACTTTTCACTTGATGGCTGAGGAAAGCGAAGCGCAGAGAGGGTAAGTAACGTGCCCGACGTCACACAGCTGGCTAGCTGCAAGTTGAACGCGGCGTCTGGCTTCAGAACTCATGCTCTATGTCCAGAAGCTGTGCCCTGTTGCTTCTCAGATGCTTAAATGCTTTGCAAACCGGGCATAACCCTGAGAGCCTGAGGAATCAGAGTTCATTAACCCTGTGCCTACATGGGGCACCTTAGAGGCCTGTCAGTGCACCTGTGATGTAATGAGAGGCAAAGACCGTAACGGAGGTTTGTTGCTCAGAAAGTTTACTGATGAGTCAACTCTCTTATGAGTAAACTCCCTTGCCACGTTTAGCTTTGCTGGTGACAGGGTAATAGCAATGTTTAAAAAACTTAATTCCACATTCAAGGCTTGTGCTGTGAATACACCCCTGTGAGGTTAGAGTTCTTAAGTTTTTTTTTTTTAGCACTTTGATGTAAGCCAAGTGTGAGGGAAGTGACCTCATTGATCAAGAGGAATGCTTGAGATTAAACTTCAGACCTAAGAGGATCTACTGTAGAATAATGGCATTGAGCTAATTCCATCAAAAGCCCAGGCAGTAAACATATTTAGCCAGAAATAAGTCTAAAAGTTCTTATATTGGGGCGCCTGTTGGCCCACACTGTTAAGTGACTGACTCTTGGTTTTAGCTCAGGTCATGATCTCAGGGCGATGACATGGAGCTCCGTGTGGGCTCCACACTAGCATGGAGTCTGTTTGGGACTCTCTTTCCCCCTCCCCTTTCTCCCTGTGTTCTCTCTCTCTCTCTCTAACAAATAAATATTTCTTTAAACAAGTTGTATCACTATAATCAATGCAGTTTAGTTATCCTTCAAGCTGGTGCTTCAGAAGTGCCCCAGAGGTGGAGATGGCGAGTTGAAAGACGTGACCAGTTGTGGCGACAGACCTGCACGGGTCCCTGCTCCCCTGCACTCACGCTCTTTGGTGGCACTTGCCAACACTGCTGCTGTTCCGGGCAGTTCTTGGAAACAGCTGGAGTAACTGAAAGATTGTTAAAGGAAAAGCCCAACGTTGTCCTGATCCAGGAGAAAGAGAGAGAAGAATACGTCATGCTGGCTTTTTGTTGGTTTGTATTAACATATTCCTGCCGGAACCCGACAGGCAGGCCGCGGACCATCCTGTTTACACCTGTTCAACAGTGAAGAAACCTATACTGCCCAGTGCACGTGCGGACTGGTAGACGCTCGGGGCCCGTGCCGTGTGCGTGCTGTGTGTCCTGCACGCGGCCCTGCAGCCAGTGCCGTTTTCGGCCTTCGCTCCACCTTTCTCCCAGATGAGATTGTGCAAAAACAGATGTGAAACGTGCATCACGTCCAGGTTCTTCCCTGATGCGAGACTCACATGGGAACAAATATATGTTTTCAAGACAAGCATCATGGCACAACTGCCTGCGTCATATTTGGTACCGAAGACCAAGGCATCCCGGGTGCTAAAAAGAGCAGACTCATGTTGGCCTCTCGGTTTTATGATCACACTGTCCGACAGTAGGCTTTTTTGGGACCCAGGCTTCCTTTCCAAAGTGAACAGGTGGCCGGTGGGAAATTGGAAAGTTTAAAGCATCGATAAAAGGGGTGATGGGCAATCCCATCTTTCCATTCCAAGAACCAGAGACACCTGGCTCAGCTTGTGGTCTTGTGGACGGACAGGTGGCCTGGGCGTGGGCTCTGTCTGTGAGGGGCTGCCTGGACTTGGTCTTCGTCCAAAGCGGGCATCTATTTGTGACAGCTGAACTCAGAAGGAGTTAAATCCCAAGCTGAGCATCACGTTTCCTGTGGCAAATGTGCAAGGCACACCCTGGTGGGGATGAAACTCAGAAAAGCAGTAGCAAGTGAAAAAAGTGGCAAAAGAATGTATAAAGTATGATTCTGTTTATATAAAGTCCACAAACAGCCACAATGAATCCACATACGGTTTAGTCACACACACACACACACACACACACACACACACGTATGCTAAAAGTATGAAGAAAGGCAAGGAAATGATTGGGCTCAGGAAGGAAGAAGGTTCCAGTGAGGAAGCAAACATAGGGCTTTCATAGTTACTCTCCTCTCTGAAATGTGGTGGGTTCAGGAGTGCTTGTTTTATTAATATGCTTTTAACTATATATATATCACATAGCATTCATTTCTCGATCTGTGAAAGAGTCCATAATAATCTTTTTTTTAAAAGATTTTATTTATTTGAGAGAGAGAGGGAGAGAGAGAATGATCAAGGGGAGGGGAGCGGGCCAGAGGAAGAGGGGGAGAGAGAAGTAGAGTCCCAGATGAGCAGGGAACCCAACATGGGGATTGATCCCAGGACCCCGAGATTGTGACCTGAGCCGAAGGCAGATGCTTAACTGACTAAGCCACCCAGGCGCCCCACAGTAATCTTTTAAAATGCCAGGAACCCAATGGAGGTTTTATAAAGTTTTGGTTACTATGACTCAGTAGTAGCAAAAGTTTCATTATTATTATAGTGGAGCTTGAAATTCCTAACCTTAAGGGTGCAGTACCCACCCCAGCCCTTGGAGGAAGGGGCAGGAGTGAAAAGGACTCTGGTTCATGTGTAAAAAGAACCTTCTGGTCAAAACCCAGCTCACCATGTAAACTTCACTCAAAATGAGATATAGGGCCATTCTCCCTCATTTTTTAAAAAATATTTTACTTTTTCATGAGAGACACAGAGAGGGAGAGGCAGAGACACAGGCAGAGGGAAAAGCAGGCTCCATGCAGGGAGCCCGACTCGGGACTCGATCCCGGGACCCCAGAATCACGCCCTGGGCCGAAGGCAGGCGCTAACCCGCTGAGCCACCCAGTGGTTCTTCCTCATTTTAGCAAAGCTACTGGCTGAGCTATTTAGGAAGTAAGCTTCTCTTCGTCCGAGGTGATGTGCTCCGAGCTGCCGCATGGCGCGGTGTCCGCGGACTTAGGTGGTGGCGCACTGTGGCACGCCGTACAAGTTGCTCGTCCTCCCTAGCATTTGCTTCTGATACATTTTGATTGCTTAGGATGGACATTTTTTCAAACGCAAACTTAGAGAACATTTATTTTTTGTAATAAATGCTCTGTGTCAGCTCTATTTGAAAAGCACGCACTAGTTCTTGGACGTGGGAGTTAAAAGCAGGCAAGGGCGCCCTGTCTCTCGTGCTGTTTGCTTTGTTGGTAGAACCACTGTTGATTCTATAAGAAATCATGTCCTCTTTTTTTTAATAAATATTTTATTTATTTATTCATGAGAAACCCACAGAGAGAGGCAGAGGCACAGGCAGAGGGAAAAGCAGGCTCCCCACGGGGAACCCGATGTGGGACTTGATCCCAGGACCCCAGGGTTAGTTACCCTCTGAGCCAAAGGCAGACACTCAACCACTGAGCCAGCCAGGCGCCCCAGAAATCATGTCCGCTTAAAACTTACTTTGAATTGATGTTTCAGTTCATGACAAAACGTGAACACTCTCGCAAATATTTATTTACCAGAAAGATTGTACAGTTGACACCAGCAAGTTGCAATTCCCCCCCATACATCCCGTGAAAGCCCTGCATGATTCAGTCTCTATTAATTCATATTAAGCAAGTGATTAGGATTTGGCATTTACTTGGAATGAATTTGCTTTCTTTAGTCCCTAATTTGATCACGACAATTTTATAAAATCATTATAGAGAATTACAAAATACCTATTACATTGTTCAATTCAGCACATGTCACGGCTGGCAGAGGCTCAGGTAATTTAGATGCTTGTAATCTTCTAAATGGTATTACGCTCTTAAACTGTACCCTAGGGTCCAAATCCACATTAACTAACTGACAAAAAATTATAGATAATTTTATTCGAGGCAACACAAAAGGGCAGGATTGTGTCAGGCATAATAAAACATCCCTTAAATAAAGGGATCTGAGATTCCCCCGAGCACGGGCTCAAATAGGCCAACTACCACTAGTTAAAGACCACTTTAACCACTGCTAGTTTGTCTGCCGTTAGTGGAAGGCTAGTTCAAGAAACACTGTGTGACTGTATAAGCTAGAAGACTTCACTTGGGCTTTATAGGAAGGAGCCCCCCGACTTCTTCGGAAATGCGTGTCCGCACGCTCTCCTGCTTGGTCTTCCTCCGTGATTTATGCAGCAGATCTCTATCAAAAATGCTGGAGGTAAATGTGTTCCATTTATATATGTCTTTAAAATTTTGAGGATTAGATCACTTCACAACCCTCCCCAAATTGCCAAAGGTGACATGATGCTAGAGAGCATTTTGGGGACCATCCCGTAAACTTGGAAAAATTAGGAATCCCTTCAGGAATGGAGCGGTGGTTCTCCACGTGGGCTGCATTTTTGAATCAGCTGGGGAGGCTGTAACAATCCCCATGCCCAGGATACACCTCCGACCGATGGCATCAGATCTCCAGGGGAGAGCCAGTCCTCACGGGTAGCTAATCTCCCAGGTGATTCCAGTGAGTGCCAAGGCCCAGAGAAAGGCTCGAGAAGGACTGAAATAGCTTTTTGAGAAATGGATTCCTTGGCGGAGCAGTGTCCAGTAGGCACTTTGAAGAGCTGCAAATATCCTGACACTGACAAGGGACAGCACTGTCCCGATCTGTGTTAGGCAAGAGGAAAACAGAACCTGACCAGATCTCACTGGCTGATTCACTGCAGGCTTGTAAATCGCCAGCTCACACCATAAACCTTCACTCCGGGGCAGCCAGTTACGGGAGAGGCTGCAGGTAAAGAGTTTTTTATCCATCAGTGATGCTTCTGTATCCAAAGAACAGGGGTTTGGGGTCAAGAGGACTCCAATATGTGAAATCAACCGCTGAGATTGGCACCCAGTTGAATTCTAACAGCGTAAGGCAAACTACACCTTTAGGAAGAACACCATTATTTGGCCTTTGTTTGGCCTTTACAAAAATGTGGCCCATCTGAAAATGGAGCAGGACGACTCTACCTGTAGCCAAAATCCTTATCAGTACAGGAGGGCAGGATTCGACGGAAGGGAAGGAGTCGTCCTGGAGTCAGTCATCTTTACATCCCCTGGAGATGCACGATTAGAGTGTTGAGCATCTTCTTTTTCCAACATCGTGTTAAGAATATTTTCAAACATAGAGAAAAGTTGAAATAAGTGGACGGTAAGCTCCCATACACCTGGCCTGCAGTAGGGGTCAGCAGACTTTTCCAGTAAAGGGCAGGGAGTCACTATTTTAGGCTTTGTGGACAGAGAGCCAAAATCTAACAACTATTCTCAGTAAAAGATTAGTAGTCTTGTTTACATATATTTAAAAATGCTAAAAGCCCTCTTAGTTTGCAGGTCATATAAAAATAGGCAGTGGGCTGGATTTGGCCCGTGGGCCATAGTTTGCTGACCCCGACCTACCATTCAGGTGATATTTTGTTCTATTTGCTCTGTCATATAGCTAGCCAGCTTTCCGTCTCTTTATCTTGGACGTCCCTCAATAATCAAAAATTAACAGTTAAAATCAATAGATTTGATGACTCTCTTCAACACAGCAGAGGGTACTGTGAACAGGATAGAATGCCATAAAGAAAATGAGACCTTGATAATCGCTTTTTTGGTCCTTATGATCTCTTATTACTTTAGAAGGTTTTTAAAAAGGTAGATAGATAGATTGATTTTAGAGAGAGGGAGGGAATGTTGGAGTGGGGGTGGAAGGGCAGAGGGAGAGGCAGAGAATCTTAAGCAGACTCCACGCTGAGCGCAGAGCCGGACTCGAGGCTCGGTCCCATGACCCTGAGCTCAAATCAAGAGTCAGACGCTTAACGGACTGCACCATCCAGGCGCCCCTACTGTAGAAATTCTCAAGATTTCCTATGCATCGAATGGTTTCGAGTTACCATGAATATAAAATTATATGTTATTATAAATTCTCTTAGTATAACATTATAGCCAAATCCGAAACTAAGGTAGCCTCTCCTCTGTGGGATCGAGTGAGTCTAGTGCAGGGAGTTACCTTCCTCGCTGCGCATCGAAGCAGCTCACTCCCCCTCGTTCTCCATCCCCTGTTTCAGATAAAGACCATTTTGAGCGGCTTCATCATCAGGGGCTACTTGGGGAAGTGGACCCTGCTGATCAAGACCGTCACCCTGGTGCTGGTGGTGTCCTCGGGCCTGAGCCTCGGGAAGGAAGGGCCACTGGTGCACGTGGCTTGCTGCTGCGGCAACTTCTTCAGCAGCCTTTTCTCCAAGTACAGCAAGAACGAGGGCAAGAGGCGCGAGGTGAGCAGGCTGCGCTCCCCAGTGTGGGACGGTCTCTTCTAGAAGCCCCTTCCGGCCCAGCCGCGCGCAGGTTTGCTTGGCAGGGCTGGGGGCTCACACACAACACTCTTCCCTGCAGGTGCTCTCCGCCGCGGCCGCTGCTGGAGTCTCTGTTGCCTTTGGGGCTCCGATCGGGGGTGTGCTCTTCAGTCTTGAGGAGGTGAGAAGGGGCAGCGGGTGGGGGGGGTCCTGCTTGGGGGGGTGCTGAAGAACACACGATGGCCAGCCCAGCAGGAGGCCACATCTCCAACCCTCTAGGGACTGCCGAGATTCCTGCAGCTCATTAAGAAGCCACGATTTTCGCTGTTAAATACAGTTTCAAGCATTGCTTTAAAAATTGCCAATATAATTTTTTTTGGAAGGTTGCAGTCTCTCTTTCTCATAACCAACTTAATGAGGCATTTTTGGTTTTGGCAACCCGAGTGGATCTCTTCCAGGGGTCAGCAAACGTTCCCTGCAAAGGGCCAGAGAGTAAATATCCTGGGCTCCGTGGCTCTTCCAGCCTCAGTTGGAACGACTCAGCCCTGTTGTCGTAGTGGGGAAGCGGCCACACACAGCGCTCGCATGAGTGGGCATGGCCACATGCCACTAAGGATCCCTTATGGATGCCGGAGTGTGCATTTCGTGTCATTTTCACAGGTCCCAAAATACTGCTGCTCTTTCGAATATTTCAAATATCACAAATATACTTCCCTTTTACCCCGAGCATTTAAACACGGAAAAACCATTGTTCACTCATGTGCCATACAGATACATTTGCTGGGCCAGGGTTTTCTGACCCTTGACCTACTCTGTTGTCCATAGAATCATATGCAGAGGTTTATTTGCTTTTGGGAGGATCTTTGTGACATAAACAGAGTTATGAAATGTTTTCATTTCTCTTAAGAAAAACAGCTCAAACACGACTTGTATCTATTGCACTTTCAGACACAGAATCCTTTAAATGTCTTCGTTGGTGCGTGTTGGTTATAACGAACCCTAGCTTGAGGAAGTCAGTACTGCCCATCTTTGGTCCCAGAGTGACTGTCACACTCAAGTGCCAGGGGGTGGCTGCCAATGAGGGGCTGGGGCTCCGGGCAGCTCTTTCTTCAGCCAGTCTGATTGTCCACTTGTTGGTCCCAGGTCAGTTACTACTTTCCCTTGAAGACCTTGTGGAGGTCCTTTTTCGCGGCCCTGGTGGCAGCCTTCACGCTTCGATCCATCAATCCCTTTGGGAACAGCCGTCTTGTTCTCTTTTACGTGGAATATCACACACCCTGGTACATGGCCGAGCTCTTCCCCTTCATCCTGCTTGGGGTCTTTGGAGGCTTGTGGGGAACCCTCTTCATCCGCTGCAACATCGCCTGGTGCAGGAGGCGCAAAACCACCAAGCTGGGGAAGTACCCGGTGCTGGAGGTCATCGTGGTGACCGCCATCACTGCCATCATCGCCTACCCCAATCCCTACACACGCCGGAGCACGAGCGAGCTCATTTCCGAGCTGTTCAATGACTGCGGGGCCCTCGAGTCCTCGCAGCTGTGTGACTACATCAATGACCCCAACATGACACGGCCAGTGGACGACATCCCCGACCGGCCGGCCGGCGTCGGGGTTTACACAGCCATGTGGCAGCTGGCCCTGGCGCTGATCTTCAAAATCGTCATCACCATCTTTACCTTTGGCATGAAGGTAAGTGAAGGGCAAAGGAAGATGCGGGGTGGGGGGCAACTCTTCTCCTTCTGGGGATAGCACCCTACTCGATGGGGACGGAAACGGGGACTGACCTTTACTGACAGTTCTCTCGTGCTGGGCACTTGCCATTCTTTTTAATCACCAAGAAGCACCACTTCAGATAGTCAACATGCTTGTGAAATAGATTTTAATCATTTTACAAATGAAGAAGCTAAGGCTCAGAGTGTGTCATCCGTGCAGAGACGCGTATAGCTTGAGGAATTTTCATAAAGCACGCGCTTGTATGGGGAGCACCCAGGACCAGAAGCAGAATATTTCAAACCCTGCAGAACCCTCTTAGTGTTCCATTACTGTTGCTTTCTCTGTGCCACTTTAAAAAAAAAAGATTTTACTTATTTATTTGAGACAGAGAAAGAGCAGAAGCAGGGAGGAAGGTCAGAAGGAGAGGGAGAAGCAGGCTCCCCGCCGAGCAGGGAGCCCGATGTGGGACTCGATCCCCAGGACCTTGGGGTCATGACCCGAGCCCAAGGCAGATGCTAAACTGATTGAGCCACCCAGGCGCCCGTGTGCTACTTTTATGATTTGCTTCTTTTAAAGTCTAAGAAACTGTGTACTTGAGTGTGTAATGGTCAATCATTTACCTGAGGTTTTGCCTGAAGACCAAGGTTGGGTGGACTTTATTAAACAGCCAATTGGGATCCCTGGGTGGCACAGTGGTTTGGCGCCTGCCTTTGGCCCAGGGCACGATCCTGGAGACTCGGGATCGAATCCCACGTCGGGCTCCCGGTGCATGGAGCCTGCTTCTCCCTCTGCCTGTGTCTCTGCCTCTCTCTCTCTCTCTGTGTGACTATCATAAATAAATAAAAATTTTAAAAAAATAAACAGCCAATTATCTCTGGTTTATCATCTCCTAGCAAAGGAATTATTCCTGTGTCTGAGGAAGATGCTAGCAGCCTCTTCTGGTGCCTGCTGAGAGAAGCCTACTTCACAGTTACAGGGAGCTAAATGCCTGGGGATCAGGGGCCACTCAGAGAGGACGTTTCTTCTTCAGGAACATCCCAAAGTCTAGAACTCACACTCGAGTTCACTTGAGGATCCAGACTTACCTGAAATTTGGTTAGGAATCCACTCCCATCCTCCCATGGATGACAGTCTTGGGAGGGAGCATAAAGGCAACTCCCAGTCAGGGTTGGCGGTCACGTGCAGTCCCCGTGGACACGGGGACTCAGGCATGTTCTGTAGCACACGTCCGATGACCAGATAAACTAAAACGCATTTGCACACACGCTACCACCAAGATCTTCTAGTTTCCATTGTCTAGTTCTTTGCTGCCTCCCACCTGGCTTGAAAATACTCAGAATAGTTTTTGGAAAGTGTACTTGGTAAAGGAAGCGGGAAGGGCCCCTGTCCCTCTGGCAGGTGTTCGGCCGCTGTGTCCTCACGGGGCCGTGGGCCGGTGAAAAGCTTCGGGAGGTGCCGGGCAGCTGCACCGAGCGGCTTTGTTTGACCCGGGACCCGGGACCGGTCGCACGCCTTTCTTTTTCATTCTCATGCTGCGGCTTGACATTTAATTTTAAAAGCTAATCTGAATGACTCGCAAGGGGAGAGAGAAAGCGGTGAGCGTCTCAAGTGACAGATGCTCACTTTGAATGTTCTTTGCAGCGGGGCTTATCATTCTTTAATCCCCAGCAGGAGAACCGGGCCCGCTTTTGAAGGAGGGGAAACGAAAGTGTAGACTTGCATTCTGGCCCAGTCACAGGAGATAGGACTGACTAAATGGGCCAAGTCCCTTGTCCCTCTTTGTCGCAGCTGACTCCCCTTGGGAAGCGTCGCGCCGCCTCCGGAGACCAGCAAAATGCAAGCCTGTTGAGGGGGGCAGGGAACTGTTCACTGGGAGTGGGGCCATGGGCATGCGGACTCCTTCCCTCATACTTCTTTTCCTTGTGTGCCCCCCGGAGATCCCCTCGGGCCTCTTCATCCCCAGCATGGCCGTGGGGGCGATGGCCGGCCGGATGGTGGGAATCGGCGTGGAGCAGCTGGCTTACCATCACCACGACTGGATCGTCTTCAGGAACTGGTGCAGGCCCGGAGCGGACTGTGTCACCCCTGGACTTTATGCAATGGTGGGAGCCGCGGCCTGCCTAGGTATAGCCACGGCGGGGGGCGGAGGACGGGGGGACAGGGCACGCTGGGGAGGGGCCGAAGCAAAGGCCAGCTCGGCCAAGCACACAGGCTGCTGCGCCTTAGGGCAGCAGTGAGGAGGGTGACATGTACTCGGGTGGTGGCATTCTCAGGGTAGGCCAGGTTGTGTTGCTATCACAGGCAAGGCCCCGGGTCTCAGCGGCGCAACACACCGAGGCTTATGTCTTGCTCATGATAGGCAGTCAATTCTCTTTATTTGTGGAACTCATATTAGGGAATTTGCCTACTTGCTGACATGTATTTGTGACCCCTAAATCAATACTTGTGGTGCGTTTGTGGTCATCCTTGGACACGCACAGAGAAGGGGAAAGTTCAAGTTGTCTCGCACGTACGTTCCCACCTCAGGGTGAACAAGGTAAAGGTCCCCCTTGTTTTAGTTCCTGTACCGTACACAGGTATCCTTCTCGTCGTCTATTTAGAGCCCCATTTTTTTGCATTTCATTAATGATTTTGTTGTTTTAAATCGCCCCCAGCCGTAGTGCTGAAGTCTGGGATCCTAAGCACAGGAAGGCTGGGATGTGTCCTATGGAGAAAATAGGTATGTCAGGGAAGTCTTCCCAGGCAGGAGTTACAGTGCGGTTGGCTGTGAGCTGGATGTTAATGAATCATCTACATGTATTAAGTAAGGTGTCTAAACAGAAGTACACGTGAAATAAAGTTCCCTATTGATTGGTTGACAGCAATGTTGTTAGCAGAAGCTCGCAGAAACCTAACCTTATGTTTCCCCTAGGGCAGTGATTCAGTATTTGCTCATTCGGTGTTTGTGGCAACTCTGTAGATCATGACTCCCACGAATGATGAGAATCAAGCCTGCATGTGTATGTGTGTCATTCGAGGCCCGGGGTGATGGAGCCTCCACCATCCTGCAGCTGCACTGTCTAGAATAGTGCCTTTTTTTTTTTTTAAACAAAGTTTTTACGTTTCATCTTTTATTTTTTTTTAATTTTTATTTATTTATGATAGAGAGAGAGAGAGAGGCAGAGACATAGGCAGAGGGAGAAGCAGGCTCCATGCACCGGGAGCCCGACGTGGGATTCGATCCCAGGTCTCCAGGATCGCGCCCTGGGCCAAATGCAGGCGCCAAACCGCTGCGCCACCCAGGGAGCCCTAGAATAGTGCTTTTTAACTGGGGGCAGTTGTGTCTCTCTGGAACCATGGGTGATGGAGGAGACATTTGTGGTTGTCACACCTACGGGGGGAGGTGGCAGTAGCATCTAGTGGGCGGTGTCCGGGGATGCTGCTAAACATCCCCTGGTACACAGAGCAGTCCCCACTGCAAAGAATGATCCAACCCCAATTGTTCCCAGTGCTGAGGTCGAGAAACTTCAGCTTAAGCTCCCTGGCAGATTAGTAGGAGTTGCTATGGATTCTTCGTTTAAATACCAAGGGACCCAAAGTTGGGCTCCTCTCCTGTCCATTAGCCACTAAGAATCTCTATGATTTTCCAGCTTATGGGGTTCTGGAAAAGAGCCACATTTGCTGTGTCAGAGACTGGCATAGCCCACATAGGATCCACTCATCAGAAAGCCAGGCACGTGGTCTTGGGTGAATGGACAACCCAGTTGTCTTCTCACTGAAGAAGAGCCCCCCGGTCAGGTGTGGCTTACAGCCCTCTGAGGTGAGGCTGCATTTACCAGAGCCTGACCAGCGTTCCAGAGGTCTGCCGTGGGCAACATGTAGGAGCGTCTCTTCGGAACAGGCGACTGGAGAATTTATAGCCAGCTTGTCCATTTCCACAAGTCATGCCTTCTTGAGGGTCTGGACTTGAGTTTCAGAATTCCGTTTCCCTTTTCGGTTGCAGGTGGAGTTACCCGGATGACTGTGTCATTGGTGGTCATCATGTTTGAGTTGACGGGAGGTCTCGAGTACATTGTGCCCTTGATGGCGGCAGCCGTGACCAGCAAGTGGGTGGCTGATGCCTTCGGGAAAGAAGGCATCTACGAGGCTCATATCCACTTAAACGGGTACCCATTTCTGGACGTGAAGGACGAGTTCACCCACCGCACGCTGGCCACTGACGTCATGCGGCCACGGCGGGGAGAGCCCCCGCTGTCCGTGCTCACCCAGGACAGCATGACCGTGGAGGACGTGGAGACGCTCATCAAGGAGACCGACTACAACGGCTTCCCGGTGGTGGTCTCCAGGGACTCCGAGCGCCTCATTGGATTTGCCCAGAGGAGGGAACTGATTCTTGCCATAAGTGAGTAGGGAGGGGGAAGCCCATGCTGTGCTAAGAGGCGGACGGCAGCCTTGCCCACCCTCCCCCCACCCCACCAATTCTCAGAGAGGTTAGAGAGACTCCAGGGGTCAGAGGGCTTTAAGCCCGGCCTCTCATACTTTCCGGCATATTCATGTCCCCTGGGGACCTGGTGAAAAGGCAGATTCTGGTGCAGTAGATTTGGCGAGGGCGCCGAGACTCTGCCTTTCTCCCAAGCTCCCCATTCATGCTGGTGCTGCCGGTCCCCAGGTCACACCGAGGAGCGATGTCTAGGGAGAGACACACTTGGCTGCAAGGTGACCACTGCATTTGCACGCAGCCTCTGGGGCTCACCCCTGCTAGGTGGCCAGCTGCTGCTGCCACCTTTTTTTTTTTTTAAGATTTTATTTATTTGAGAGAGAGAGAGAGAGAGAGAGCACAAGGGGGGGGGCAGCAGGGAGAGGGAGAAGCAGACTCCCCACTGAGCAGGAAGCCCCACTGATGCAGGGCTCGGTTCAGGACCCCAGGATTATGACCTGAGCTGCAGGCAGACACTTCACCTGAGCAGCCCAAGCGCCCCTCGGCTGCTGCCTTTTTAGGGAGTTGTCAGGTGAAGCTGGGAAGGATAGAGGTGGGAGAGGCTGCGCCGATCCTGGCGAGCTGCTCTCAGAGAGGTTTTCAGGCAGTTCTTTGCCTCAGATGCCTCCCTGGGCTCCGCACGAGCCCTTCACTTCGCTTGGTGGCACTGTTGTCCCATTCCGGTACTTAGAGGCCCGCGTGGGTCAGGGCCATGTGCTGCTTTTCCTGCGGGGTGCTAGCTGCAATGGGCTGGGCGGAGGGGCTGGCTGCTGAGTTAGGTGATGCCTAGGTGGGGTGTGCCAGAGACAGGCGGCTCGGAGAAGCACGCCTGCGGGCCCAGCAGCCGGGAGGCCCGCGCTGAAATGGAGGTGGGAGGTCGGGTTCCCGAGATAAAGGCCCAGTGTGAGTCATGTGGAGACCTAGGGAGAAGGACAGTGAGCCTCGGAGCCCCCCTTGGGGTGGAGTCCTGCCGGGGCTCCCGATGCCGCAGGGCAGGGGCCAGTGACATGCACCCATGGCACAAATGCCATCCGGCTCAGCACACCTGACCCGGTGACTGCATCCCGGCACCTGACGGTGGGCTGGACCCATGGCGCAGCTCACCTGTGCACTTGATGGCTTTAGCACACGGCTCCTGCTTCCGGAGGACTGAAGAAGTTTGCCAGTGGGACTGGCCCGGCCGTGACTGCCCAGTGTCCTCCTGGGAACACACCTTCACCAGAGGACCCTTTGCTTATCCCTGGCCCTTGGTTCATTATTTCTAAGGCTCTTTCAGTGTTTAAAAATCTCTTTGTGATGTTGAATATCTTTAAATATCTCTTTTAAATATCTTTAGAGTATCTTCAGCAAAGGCTTTATAAAAGTAGGTTTGGATAAGCCGCATCTCTAATTTTAGTTTGCGGCTCAAAGGTATTTACCTCCCTCAAAGCCACGCTGGGTTTATATTTTGGACACGATAGCTCACTTGTGCTTACGTGCTCAGTGATGCTTCTCTATTATAGGTATTGTCGCTTAACAGGTAGGTGCCTGTGGGCATAAATATTACCTTAAAAGTAATGAGACTTGTTTTAAGCTGTATGAGCAGGGTTGGGTTTGTTTTAAAATAATGTAATCAGCAGCCTTGAAGAATTTATTCAGTCCCTAAAATCTTTTAAGCAGAAGCTGAAATTTAAAAACTAAAGTAACGTCACTGGATCCATTTCCTATTGTGCAGCTCCTGGCACACCTGCTAGGAGACAGCTTACTAATTTGGCTGAAACCCATTACTGTAATCAAGTGGGAAGCAGTAATTGTCATCAACCGGTTAGTGAAGAAATTTAAGCTTGCCGACGGAGCGCTCTCTTAGAAGCTATGTTTGGAATGTCTGAAGAGGCAACACGCCGTGTAAATAATACCTATACGCTTTCAATCAGACCGATAATAGTATAGAAGCTGTTGTTCACGTGGTTTGTGGAAAGGCAAGGAGTGTTTCACTCTGAGCAATCAGAGAAGCTGTTTTCCTGATCTACGGAAACAGAAGAGTCCCTGTACTCTGGTGGAGAAATGTGTGACCTGTATTTGCGGAATTATGGGGCCTCTCGTGATAGAGAAATAGGACTTTAGCATTTAGCTAGTGACTATCTCCTGCCAGTTTCATTTTCAGAGGAATTAGGAACAAAGATTATAGGTAGGTCAAAGATCGTTTGAATAAGAACAGTAGGGGAGGTAAATAAGGGTTTTTCTTACACATCATGTGGAAACTGTAGCACCTGGGGCACCTGGGTGGCTCAGTCCGTTGAATGCCTGCCTTCGGCTCAGGTCATGATCTTAGGGTCCTTGGATGAGTCCTGAGTCGGGCTCCCTGCCCAGTGGGGAGTCTGCTTGTTCCTCTGCCTCTCCCCCCCGCTTGTGCGCGCTCTCTCTGTCTCCAGCTCTCTCAAATAAATAAATGGAATCTAAAAAAACAATCCTAGCAATTGCTCACATGAAGCTGAAAATGCTTTGTTATTTTCAAACCATGGGACGCTGAGCTGTAGCCAGTGTCCTTGTTAGCGGTTGGCCCCACCGAGGACACGTGGCCCGCTTCCCCGTCACATACTGACACATGGGGCCGCGTGAGACCCATGTGCAAATTCCCAGTAAATGGGACTTTACCTCTCGGTGCTATTTGCAAATATGAGGCTCTTTCTGTGCTCAGCGGGGCTCAGACTCTTCTAGTCTTGAATTCTGCAATTAGGTGAGGACGGGTTCAGAGAGGACTCAGCGGGAAGCCGCAAAGATGATTAAAGGGATGGAAAGTTAGAGTCACAGGCAAGAGTTAAGGGAACCCTCATTTTTTTTCATCTGGTGGATGATTTAATGATGATTCTCCAGCATGTGGAAGATGCTTACTTGCAGAAAGAGATCTGCGTCCAGAACTGAACAAAGTGTCAGATCTGTTGGAAGGGCTATTTAGGGATAAAGTGGTTTCTTCCTGGGAGGGCTGTTCATGATTGCAGTAGGCCACGGAGAGCGGCGGTGTCATCTGCTTTCTGCTGGGGCTTGAAACACATGTACAGAGGGGCTTCTCCACGCAGCAGCAAACTAACGTATCATAAAATCCTCTGGTTTTTCTTCTAAATAGTTTTTGCTTTTTAATTTTTTTAAAAAATCACATCATCTTTGTACCGACCACCACTATAGTTGCTTTCAGTTTTCCATTTTAACCTTTTTGGTTAATGACGTCTGTTACATGGAAGCATTTTTGATGAACAGGATGATAGGTTATTATCTCTCTAAAGACGTGATTGATTACTCCGAAGTAGAGCTTCTCAGCTTTATCACTATTGACATTTGGAGCTGGATCATTCTTTGCTGTGAGGGCTGTCCTGGGCACCATTGGGTGTTTAGCAGCATCCCTGGTCTCTGACCACCAGGTGCTAGTAGCATCACCATCTCCCAGTTTTGACAACCAAAAATGTCTCCAGATAATTTCCAAGTGTCCACTAAGGGTCAGCTGAGAACCAGTGCTCTAAAAGCATGGGAATAGCTTACTGAATGTGTGATTATTTCTAGTCTTAACATTTCCTGGTCTGTCATAGTTTGTGAAATTTACTTTACCAGCACTCACAGTTTGTGAAATTTGTAAGCACAAATTACCCTCCCTGTGCTTGGTGTTATCCTCGTATTGTCCGCTAGACAGTGGAATGTACCTTAACAGGTACTCACAAAACGTACCTCATTTTTTAGGAGCTGTGGCCACTGATACTGGTTCTGGTAGAAGAGATAACAAACCTCCTGTGTTAAGAACAGTTGAAAACAATTAAAAATACAGTTTGTTACATTTTTATTAATTTTTTAAATTTTAATTTATTTTTATTTTTAATTTTTCTTTAAAGATTTTATTTATTGGGATCCCTGGGTGGCGCAGCGGTTTGGCGCCTGCCTTTGGCCCAGGGCGCGATCCTGGAGACCCGGGATCGAGTCCTGCGTCGGGCTCCCGGTGCATGGAGCCTGCTTCTCCCTCTGCCTGTGTCTCTGCCTCTCTCTCTCTCTCTGTGTGTGACTATCATAAATAAATAAAAAAATAAAAAAATAAAAAGATTTTATTTATTTATTCCTGAGAGACATGGAGAGAGAGAGACACAGGCAGAGGGAGAAGCAGGCTCCATGCAGGGAGCCCGATGTGGGACTTGATCCCGGGACTCCAGGATCACGCCCTGAGCCAAAGGCAGGTGCCCAACCACTGAGCCATCCAGGCGTCCCTTTATTGTGTTTTTTTAAAGCAATACATAGGGGCGCCTGGGTGGCTCAGAAGGTTGGGTGTCTGCCTTCAGCTTGGGTCATGATCTCAGGGTCCTGGGATTGAGTCCCATGTCACGGGCTCCCTGCTCAGCGGGAAGCTTACTTCTCCCTCTGCTCATCTTCTCTTTCTCTGTATCTCTCTGTCTCAAATGAATAAATCTTAAAAAATAAATAAATAAAATTAAACGAAAGTAATACATGTTCCTAGAATATTGGGGAAATCAGAAGCAAAAAGGAAAATTAAAAAAGGCACATACTTTCTCAGCAGCATAGAAGGCCGTGGTTAATATTTAGTGCATTTCCTTATCTTTTGGGTCTTTTTTTATTAATTAATTTATTCATGAGAGACAGAGAGAGAGAGAGAGAGAGAGAGAGGCAGAGACACAGGCAGAGGGACAAGCAGGCTCCATGCAGGGAGCCCGATGTGGGACTTGATCCTAGGACTCTGGGATCACACCCTGAACCAAAGGCAGACACTCACCACTGACCCACCCGGGCGTCCCATCTTTTGGCTCTTCTACATATGTAAACATTGGGCTTTTTAGGGGGTTTCTTTTCTAACATCGGCTTCCACGAGTCCCTAGGGCCTGGGAGTCTACACTCTTGTAGCACTGGATCATCCCCAGGGTGAGGAGTCACTATTTCTTGTGTACCTGCCATGTGCTGGTCCTGTCCTAGTTGCTGGGTGAACAGGGGTGGCGCAAGCCAGTCTCTGCCCTCTATGAGCATACATGCTGTAGTTTGTTGCAGACATTTGGGTGACTGATGAAGATTTCTTGTCCAAACCGGGAGTAGATGGTTCACCCTAGCAGAGAGATGCAAAAAGCTTTCTTGTTGGTTCTTCCATTCATCAGGTTTTGGCCTGTGTGTAGCACCCGGGTCTCCAGGACCACGCCCTGGGCCGAAGGCAGGCACTAAACCACTGAGCCATCCAGGGATCCCCTCCCCCCCCCCCCCCCGCCGCCAGTGCGTCTTATGTGAAATAGGCTCTGTTCTACATGGGAGGCAGAACCAAGTACACTGCCATTTAGTAGAACTGCTCACTCATTCTTTCACTTATTGATTGATTCATGCATGGTTTTGGCGATCATCTGTTTTGTGCCTTCTGTATACCAGGCATTGTCCAGGCACTGGGAATGTACTGGTGAGCAGGAAATCACTGAACCAGCTGCTGTTAGAACCAGGGCTTCTAACCCAATCAGGAGATTCAGTGGAAATAGAAGGTTGTTATTTACTTCAACAAGTGGATTGACAGTTCACTAAGTTTTATTTGGTTTTACAAGGGGTTCAGCAAATCATGTGTCCAGTTCTTGATTGAGGTTCGTGGCTCCAGCCAGTCCTGATGTGGATTGATCCTTAATCCAGTTGATCCGATTGTTGAACTAGATGGGATTCCTGTTATGTGGGCCATTTGGAGAATTGGTCAGTCTGTGCCAAACGAGCAGCACATTAAGTATGTGTCGATTGTTGTCTCCTCACCTTAGTGCTCCGCGTTGGAACCATTCTTGATTTAGGAGAGAAATGTGCAGTGCGTATCGTGTAGCATTCACATTTAAAAACGTTGTGTGTCAGCGTCATCTGGTATTTGTGGTTGAATCCTATCCCATTTGATGTAACTAGATTTAACCTGACCCACATAATGTGCCGGCATTTGCCCAGCGGGCCCACTGTTTCTCTTTTAAACAGAGACCCCTTTTCAAACTCAGCCTGACCCCAAATGTGGCCAGTTTTCCATTAGAGTACTCTATTGCAATAAGTGGCCTTAGAGCAGGCAGTTAGAATTTTATTTTTCAAAGAACAATATAGGTGAATAGTAGTCTTTGAGAAGGCAAGAAATGTATTATAGAAACCAGGATCCATTTTAAGGCAAGGCTCACTGTACATTTTTCCTAACCTTTTCCCATGAACCAAAAGAAAGATTAAAATTCCAACAGAAGGAAAATCGCCTTGGAGAAATATCTTGAGACCGATGGATTTATTTCATGTGTGACTTAAAATAGCCTGGGTTTCTAGTACTGCATAAAGCTGTATTTCTAATGAGTTCCTGTTACCCTACTTTTCTTCAGCTTGCTTTTGCATGTCCTTGCCTACAGATAGAAAGAGGCTAATTGTTACCATAACAGTTTTACTATCTTTCTTTGAGGAATCCACAAAATGGTCCGTTTTTAAGAGAGGAGATCCAAGAGGTGGGGGGAACGTGGCTTTTCTGGAGTTATTTCTTTGGTCCCAGGAGTCATGTTTGGGATTGAGCTGCATTTCTGGGCTCTGAGCCTGGGATGGTCCTACTGGTTTCTGTTGCTTTCAGGATTCATAATGCCATTTGGGCCAGTTAAAAGTTAGTTTGTAAAAAAAGAAAAACAGCGTATTGAGGTCATTGGGCAGCTCAGCGAGGTTTCTTATCATGTCCAACTTGAGCCCATGATGAGGTGAGGGAGTGTTAGGAAAGCAAAGGTAGAGGGCCCTGGGCCTTCTGGGTGCCCTGGAGCCCAGGAGGAGGCAGTACATGCTCCTAAAGAAGTTGCCCTGCTCGGTCCCACGTGTCAAGACTCTGGCCGTGAATGATCGGGTCACAGCAGGGCACCCTTGCACGGCATTGGCTTCCAAGAGATGCCAATTTCACAGATGTTTGGCTGAAGCTCCTCATTAAGAACGCGGCATTTGCCCTCTGCACCGCTTCTCTGTGGGATTCTAGGCTGCAGATAGAGGGGAAAAGTGTGTTTCTGTGGATATGGGGCAGGGGGAGTTGCCAAACAAGGGCCTCTGTGTGGCTTATTGATCCTGCTTGCCCATTCTAGAGAATGCCAGACAGAGGCAGGAGGGCATCGTGAGCAATTCGATCATGTACTTCACGGAGGAGCCCCCTGAGCTGCCGGCCAACAGCCCGCACCCCCTGAAGCTGCGGCGTGTCCTCAACCTCAGCCCGTTCACGGTCACGGACCACACCCCCATGGAGACGGTGGTGGACATCTTCCGGAAGCTGGGGCTCCGGCAGTGCCTGGTGACGCGGAGTGGGTGAGTGGCCCGACGGGTGTGGATGGATGAATGAGTCACGGTCTCAGCCCCCTGGGGCCTCGCGGGTGACCAGGGTGGACCAGTATGGGGCAGGGGTGGGGAGCACGCGTGGGGAAGCGAGGGCGAGTGTGCAATGGGAATGAGGTGGGAGCCTGGGGAACTCCGCACCGAGGCCACTGGCCACCACCACCCCCCCCCGGAAGGTGGGAGCAGCTGCTTTCCGAAGGGCTGCTGTCCCGCCTGAGGCTGAAGGTTGAGTCCAAAAGGGGAGGAGCCAAAGGAGGTTGTGGCTGCTTTGCCGCCCCCGCAGCAGCTCTTGGCTCGGGGAGAAGGTACAGCCCGTTCTGCTATAACAAGATCTGCACATTCGTCAAAGACCTGGCGCTGCACAGAAGTGAGCAGTGAAAGGCACAGGCTTGTGGGAAAAAGGCTGGGTGTACGACCCACAGCAGTTCTGGGGGCGTGTGCACACACGCACCAGGCGGACCTAATGAAAAATGTAGCACAGCTTTGCACCTTAAGTGGTTAAGAAATATGTAAATCCTCTGACACACAGATCACTTTTCCTTGAAAAAGCCCTGCGGTTTTTATTGTAGAAGCGGGTGTCATAAGGGTTGCTGCTAGTGAGCCGTGTACAGGTGAAGGTGGAGTGACCCTGGGCTGGGGGCGCCAGCTTCCTCTGCAGTCAAACATCACACAGAACTTTGGACTCCCCAAAAACTTACCTACTGGTAGCCTGTCGTCGACCAAAGCCTTACCGATAACACCCAGGGTCGATTAACGCATATTTTGTCTGAACGTGTATTACATGCTGTATTCTTGGAGTAAGGAAGCCAGAGGAAATGTGATTAAGAAAATCATAAGGAAGAGACAATACATCTCTAGTGCTGTCCTGTATCTTTTGAAGAAAATCTGCATATAACTAGACCCATGCAGTTCAAAATCCGTGTTGTTCAAGGGTCGGCTGTGTGCCTGTGGCCCTGGGGTTGGCCAGGTGCAGATTTCTGCATTCACCTGGAATTTCTCACTGATGAGATGACCCATAAGCAAATGTGAAGTTCACATTATGCTCAGATTCTTCCCTACTGTAGCAATCTGTTCAGAACAACCTCACATTTTCCAAACATCTGTTACTGAAGAGCTGAGAGATTTGGTGGCCCCACGGCATTGTCTGTGCCGTGGCAATAGTACTTTTGTTTTGTGTTATCGTAAGCCAGGAAACTAGTGTGGCAAAGATCAAAAGGTTCGTGATGGTGTGAGAGGTACCGTGCCCCAAGGGCCATTCCTTGGGTTCAGAGGTGTACCCTAAATCCCATGGCTTTAGAAGCTTGGGTGGAGGAAGAGATTGGCTCAGTGAGGGTAGCCTGGAACCTAGTATTGTGCGCCCAACCTACTCCTCTGTAGGCTGAGGGGAGGAGGGGAGCTTGGGCTGTGGAGACGTTGGCACCCTAACTGTATTGAGGCCTCACCTCTCTAACGTAGTTTACGTTGCAGAGCCCACACTCCAGTGTAGCCGAGCAATTCTCAACCAGGGTGGTTTTGTCCCCCAAGATTTTGGGTGTCACAGCTAGAGAAAGGGGAGGCTCCTGGCACTTAGTGGGTAGAAGCCAAGAATGTTGTCAAACGGCCTGCGGCGCATGGGACGGCCCCCCGTTGCAATGAAGGGTCACTGGCCCGGGATGTCACCAGCTCTGGGAGTGAGTGACCGAGGACCAGGTACCTTATTCCCTCACTCCCTTCCTGCCATCCTGGCTGCGTGAGGGGCCGAATGTGCACCCTGGCCCAGGGAACTCCTAGGCTGCGTGACACGTGCCCTCAGCTCCAACCTCAGCTGTGGGGGGGTTGGTGTTGCACATGGGAAGGACAATCAGTGAGCAACAAATAAATGTTCGGGGCTAGAGGGGACTTCTGCTGCTGATTTTTTAAAGGTACCCAGTGGGCCACAGAATCCCCCCGAGTATAAAGCTCTAGGTGAAACCCCAAATGCTGGCGCCACTGCAGTGACTGAGCCCTCGGGTCTGGGAGGGTTCTCGAATATATATGTCTGGCCAGCTCCCGGGCGCGCTGCTGCCAGCCGGACTCCACTTTGCAAAAACACTGAAGCCCATTTACATACTTGAATTTCCAGCGCTCGGCAGAAATACCACTGTGATCACCCGTGGCGTCTCAAGTGCATAGCAGTTTCTCTTTTCCTTTAAAATAATAATCCAATGTCAGTTATCATTGGAATTTCCAGTTCTGGCAGGAAATTCTGCCCTTAACGCCCGCTCACACCTCACGCAGCCCCATGAGGTTTTCCTGTGAAGATCTGGGTGCCGAAATTGGCTCCGAATGTTCTGCGAGAAAACAAAATCGCACTCTCTCTCGCTCTACATATTTTAAACAAACACAGATGCTGATACGTTCCTGCTGGCAAGGGATCCTTGTTTGCGGGCCTTTCATCTCCTCGGGCTTGCAGCCAGGGCAGGCATGTCTTGAGCCAGCTTGCGTTTTTGATGTACTCCGTCACCATGTGCCTTCCCTGTGCTCGTCCCGTGGACCTGCCTCGCCTGCAGGATGGCTCGGGGCCCCGGGGTCCAAGCCGACCGTGAACCCAGCCCAGGAGCCGCAGAAGTCTCTGTCCCCAGAAGGCCCGAGGCTGCGGAGCCTCCGGTGGCTGAGACTGCATTTGGGTGGCATCTTCCGCGCAGGCCGCCTCGACAGGCCGGGCGGGCGGGGGAGGTGGTGTCAGCTTTCCCCGAGCCTGCTAGGTGGGCCCCCAGACCCCGCACGGGGTGGCCCGCCCAGAGGAGCCCGCCCGGCTCTTCTAATTGGGTGCATTCCTGGTCATAGATGGACCGTTTATCAATTCCCTCGATTCACTTGAACTGTTACCCAAAGGGGCTGGAACACTTGATTTACGTCACATAGGACCGGTCATGCCACTAACGATCTGCGCCGGATTCCGGGGGGATGCTGAGCTGTCCCCTTCCGCCGTCGTTGTGGGCCAAGGCACAGCTGGCGCCCGAGCCCAAGATTGCTCTGAATTCAGACTTCCCCAGAAGGGCTGTGAGAGCTTGAAGGGGAGGGAGGTCGTCCGGACCGCTCCAGGGTGAGGAAAGGCAGCAAGACCAGGCTTTATAGATATGGGAAGGGTGTGTGTGTGTGTGTGTGTATGTGTGTGTGTGTGTGTGTGAGAGAGAGAGAGAGAGAGAGAGAGAGATCTCAGAGATCACAGAGTCCTCATCACTTTGCGAACAGTAACAAGTCCTACTTTTTCAAAGTAATATTCACTTCATCACCAGCTTACTGGGCTATTTGTTTGCTTTTTTATTTTTTAAAGATTTTATTTATTCATGAGAGACACAGAGGCAGAGACACAGGCAGAGGGAGAAACAGGCTCCCTGCGGGGTGCCCGATGCAGGACTCGATCCCAGGACCCCTGGATCACGACCTGAGCTGAAGGCAGATGCTCAACCGCTGAGCCGCCCAGGCATCCCAACTTTACTGCATTCTGATAAATTTGGGAAATGTATTTGCAGTAATATATAAACAGAGTTGAAGCCAAGTAGCTGTAAACAGCTGAGACAGAAAACAGTTCCTGGCTCTGTCCTTCACGGGCACCCTTCTCCCTTTGGGCAACCATTTTTCTCCCACAAGAGTTTCTTTTCTTTAATTAGTAGACTATTTTTTAGAGCAGTTTTGAGTTCACAGAAAAGTTGAGCGTAGAACACCAAGTTCCCATACACCCTCCCCTGTCCCCCCAGCTTCCCTTATTAACATCTTGCGTTTGTTATATTTGCGGCCTCTGATGGACTGATACCGATACCTTATTAACTCAGGTCCCCAGTTTACATGAGGGCTCACTCCTGGTGTGGTACATTCTGTGGGTTTTGATAAATGGAGAACAACCTGTATCCACCATTGCAGTATCACCCTGAGTGGTTTCTCTGCCCTAGAAATCCTCTGCCCCCGCCTCTTCATCCCTCCATCCCTCGCTCAACTCCGGTGACCACTGATCTCTTTACTTTCTCCATAGTTTTGCCTTTTCCAGAATGTCATAGAGTTGGAATCATGCAGCATGTACCCTTTTCACACTGGCTTCTTTTACTTAGTAAGAGGTATTTAAAGTTCCCCCATGGCTTTTCATGGCTTGACGGCTCATTTGTTTTTAGCGCTGAATAATATTCCATTGTCTGGAGGAACCATGGTGTATGGACCATGGTAGGTCCATTCACCTACCAACGGGCATCTTGGTTGCTGCCAAGGTGTGGCAACTGTGACTCAAGTATCCATCTTCTAAGAGCTAAGGAAATTCTTTTCTATCAGCACTGAACCATAGTTATGCAAAATTAACAGTAATTCACCATATTCAATATCCAATTCATAATAAATTTCAACCCAGAATTCTTTCAAGGTTCACACATTGCATTTGCTTATTTTGCCTCTTTAGTCTTTCATCTAGAAAAGTTGCCTGCCTTTTTTTGGTTGTTATTTATGATACAGGTTTCCCTCCTCCCCGCCCCCGAAGGATCCAGATCAGTAGTCTCACTTGTAGATCCGTAGTCTCACACTCACTATGGAGTTTGATTGCTTCCCCATAGTTTGATTTGGTTTAAGTAGTTTCTGACAACATGCCAATGTAGATGAGGTCATGATATCAGCTCTTCCAGCTTTGTTGGTGATAAGCTCTGCCACTTAGATGAGATGGTGGTGGCTCGAGTCCTCCATTGTAAAGGGACATGTCTCTCTCTCTCTAATCTGTGGAGGGGTCCTTTGAGACCAGGTGAATTTTTTGTTTTCCAGCAGCCGTTTACCCAGTGACTTTGAAATCCACTGATAATTTGACTAAACAAACTTACATCGGGGACTCCAAAATGTTGATTTCCTAATAAGTCAGTCCCACTTTTACATTTCCCCGTTTTTTGGATCATCACGATAGAGTCATGACGGTTTGTTTTGACATCCGTGTTGTCACTATTCTTTGGATTTAGCATGCTTTTTTAAAAAAAGATTTTATTTATTTATTCATGAGAGAGAGAAAGAGAGAGAGAGAGAGAGAGGCAGAGACACAGGCAGAGGGAGAAGCAGGATCCATGCAGGGAGCCTGACGTGGGACTCGATCCCGGGTCTCCAGGATCATGCCCTGGGCTGAAGGCGGTGCTAAACCGCTGAGACACCCGGGCTGCCCCGGATTTAGCATGCTTTTAAAGTCCCCTTTTGCTATTTTCTCCTCTCCTGAAGATGTTGCTATGAGATAGAGGGGAACAGTCGTACCTGCTGTCTCCCCCAGGGGCATAGGTGGTCAAACCAGTGCAGGGAAACAATCACTTGGTCAGGGTTGGTTAAGGGCCAGGGTGCTCAGGGACAAAGGAGCCAGAATGCCGGCCTGACCCTTTTCACTAACCGGCATCCATTTCACCAGAGGGAACTGAGTCGAATGCTGCTCTGATACTTAACTCTTCCCTCTTCATACTCCCTTCTGTTACCTAGGAGAGGAGTTTGACTATATTTGGCTTTAATTTAAAAATAAATCACAGTGTATTTTAATTGTGTTTTCTGAGTTGGGGGTATCTCATTATTTTACACATAGAAATCTTGAGACTGTTTACTTCTCTCTTTTTTTTTTCTTTTGGTGTGCTGGCGATCAGGCGAGCAGCATCCTGCAAACTCACTTGGCATTGGAGCTTTCTTTCTCCAGGGATGCTGTGCACATCCCTTTCTTTCAAATCTTTTACTTTACTGAGGGGGCATGATTCGTGCCAGCAGATGGTCATTTAAGTATTTGATAAAATCAAGATTGAGGCAAGGGCTGCTAGGAATGGTTGTGGAAGCGTGTTCTGCGCTGTCCGTGTACTCTCTGCATTGTCGTGTTTGTGGACAGTGCTCCTTGGGGTTGTGCAACGTGTAGTCCAGGCAGCCTTACACAAGGCACCCTGGGAAGAGGCCTTGTTTTTTATAAGTTTGAAAGCAGTAGGATTTTGGAAGAGGAGATCATTTACATATATGATCAAACTTTACCCATCCAGTGCGGTAGACTTAAAATAGAATCGGTTATCTTATACTTAAAATACCTTATACTTGGAATTTCTGTAATGTGGTTAAGTTTCCACAATGGCTTTCACAAGGCCTTTTTTGATTGATTATGGTCTTGAAATTTAGGAGAGTGTATTAGTCATTGTAGGTTTATGGCTGTAATTAGCAAGCTTGCCATCCCAGTGGCCTAACACGGTAGTGATTCATTCCCCCCCACATCACATCCAGTGTGGGCTTCAGCAGGCGTGGGCTCTGTACCATACAGTCATTCAAGGACTTTGAATGGTCTTTGAATTTGGTGGCTCCTGAGTCAGTCCCCTGTGACCTCAGAGTCCTTCACTGGCTCCTCTGCCTCTGGCTGCCAGTTGAGGAGTGAGGGTATCAGGAAATGTGCAGGTGACCTGGGAAGGGCATCTCTCCTCTCTACCTAATGCCGTTGGCCAGAGCTCACTCAGTTGTCCCCACCCGAGTGCAAAGAAAGCTGGGAAACGTCTCCCCATGTGTCCAGGTGGAAAAGGCCCTGGGCTTTAGGGCAGGCATGAGTCAATATTGCAAAGCTGACCTTCTTTCTCTATTTTGTTTCTTTTCCAGGAGACTTCTTGGCATCATCACGAAAAAGGATGTTTTGAGACATATGGCCCAGATGGCAAACCAGGACCCTGAATCCATCATGTTTAATTAGAAACAAGGTGGCATTTATTTTGAGAAAAACACAACTGTGTCATTTTAAAAGAAATAAACAAGTGATATGTTATTATCCTAATGAACGATTATGCACTGGGGGCAGTGGAAACAAAAGCTTTGTTTGAAAGGAAGGATGAAGCCTTTTTTAAAAAAAAGACATCAACGAGTAGGCATTTTATAGCTTTAACCCCTTCGGAGTTTCCAGCTGTGTTTCTTAATGAGTTTATTAACTGCCATGGGGGCATGTGGGTGGGTGCAAACGATGTGGTTTGTCCAAGGACATGGAACACAGATGCTGAGTCCAGAAGGTTTGCCCCTTCTGTTTAAGGCTGATGTTTGTGAAGCTTTGAGTCAAAAGGCAAAGGAGCACTGACCTGTCAGCATCCTTTATTTATTGGTTTCTGATGTTTTGCTGCTATTTTACCAAATCGGACTAAAGATATTTGCACTTACTTTGTTGCAAAAGAAAAATAAATTAAATTGGAACATAGTGAAAGCTGAAAGGGTGCCAGTGGGTTCACTCATGACCATCCCCTTTCTTGCTCCTGTTCCAAGCCTAGTGTTTTGCTTATCCATCAGTTTCCAGATCAGCATCGAGGTTTCCTGCAGTGATGAGTATGAAGAATTCTTTCTCTCTGCAAGCCCAGCATCTTGGGACTGCATAACGAACTACTGGGGTGTTTAGTGCTGCACGTATTTCCTCTCGTACAAAGGGATTCATCCTGATTTTGAGGGTATACGCACCTGTTCGTTGTTTTGCAAATGTGTTGCATGTGCTCCACCTGTTTATTGCTGTTGCCTGTGCATTCTGAATTATTGATCAGTCCAGCACTTTCCATGGGCCACATCCTCTATGTTGCCAGCTTGCCATAAGTGTGCTTTAATTTCCAAATAGCGTACGTGAGAGTCAAAACAGGCTACCCAGTGTTACTACTTATTTTTCCTCTCAGATCTTATTAACTATGGCTGCAGAGAGGGGGAGGCATACGAAGTCTCAGTGGGAACTCCTCCAAATGGATTGCAAGAGAAATACTAAATTGATTCTAAATCTGTTCCATTATCTTCTCTGTAGGATGCAAAACGTCCGGCTTTAATGTCTAAGCGTGCACTCGCATACTCGTAGGCAAAGCACAGAGTTAAATTGTAGACACCAGTTTGAGCACCGGGCATCTTTGTACTGATGGTGCATTTATCTTTTGAGTCAGGACTTCGGTCTCTTCTTCTGTGAGAAGGCACGGAGCTGTAGGTTAGTCCGCTGTGTGATCCGTGTGAGTACGATTGCTCCCACTTGCCTCTCACGTCAGCCTTTGCTCTTCCCAGCTCACCAAGTGGCCCTCACCCTTTGTAACCTCGTTATTGGATATTGACCTACCAGGTGTGCATTTGGCTGCAAGTAATAGAAAAATCCAACAAACGGTGGAGAGCTGAATGAGAAACCTGGGGTCGGACACTCTCGACTGCCCCTGTGTTATCATCGAGCATTCGTGCCCTTTGGCACTGTTTTCTACCATCCTTAGGCCTCCGGCTTCCTGCCTTGTAGCCACAGGTGGCTGCTGCGCTGCCAGGCAGGATATCTGCTTTCCAGACACGGAGGGGGAGGAAGAGACCACGTAACAAGGCGCAGTGTCTGTGTGAGGAAAGCAGGACTTGCCCAGAGATGCTCAGCTCACATCCGTTGGCTAGAATTCTGTTGCATGACTCCCCCAGCTGCATGTGAGTGTGCGAAGGGAAGTTTTTAGCTAGGCATATTGCTCTCTGAACGAAATTTAGATTCTCTTAATAAGGAAGGGGGCTTGGTCCTTGGGAGGGAATACTGTCCACCCAATTGGATGCCATCGTCGTGTCCCTGTCGTTGCCCTTCCTGTTCTCCTTACCTTCTTTCTTGCCGGACCCACTAGACCCTCTCTTCTCACCTTATAGTTTCCCACCCCTTCTGTCAGATTCGACATAGAACTGCCAGTCAGAAGCCATCCTTTCTTAGCCCTAATGAAAACGTTCGTTTTGGATAAAAACCTAGAAACTTCTAGTCAGTATCAGAAAATGTACCGATACGTTCTTTGGGTTAAAAAAGTTAAGTCAGAGCATGCTGATAAACTATGGAAGATTTCTTTCTGTGATCGGTTGACCTCCAAAATCATATCAAAGAGCCTCTTCAGCGTGGAAATACCAGTCAGTGGTAGAGAATTCGATCTCCCTGCCTCCTTCGCGGCACAGAAGTATCGGGTAACAGATCCTATTATTAGTGTTGTGACTGAGGTTTCTATGGCACATACGCAAGTGAAGCTGGATTCTTCTGGACTTTAAATCCTAAAAGGTCTTAAAGATCACTTCATGTGGTTCCCTCTTACTCCCACGTGGCCTCCCACAAAAGTATTCGTCATAGCCTGGATTTATATAATCCAGGACATGCTTTCAGCTGAAATCAGGAGCTTCAGGAGGGAACACGAAACAGTGAACAGATAGCCAAAGGTCAGTGAAACCACAGAATTTCCTCCCCCTCCAGCCGAGGCCATGGAGGGATGTGAAGGGATAGCTTACTCCAGACCAAGGTCACCGAGGGGTGTCGTGTTGTGTCCTTCTCCCCAGTGCTTAGTGTAGAGGGCTCCACAAATTCATGGGAAACCATTGGGAGTTGTTCCTTGACTCAGACAACCCTGTTTTCTTTCATAAGCTGGGCCTCTAATTTGTTGTGGGGTTCAGGCTCTTGGCAACAGAAGGCCAGGGTCAGACAGGCGGGTAAAGGTCGGGGATGGGGAGGTTTGCAAGCGGGGCTCCTGGGGTTGCTTGCCTTCCTCCTCTGGACTGGCTCCCCTCTGCGGTCCACTTGCCCACCGGCCTGGGGTCTCAGACAAGCTGGATGGGGAGCAGGCTCCCCGCACGCTTTGTCCCTCTTCCTTGTAAAAGCACGTGGGTAGGCATTCTGCAGCTCTGTGCTGTGTCCCGATGTAGTTCATCCACTTTACCAGGTGATCTGATGAGCTAGAGGACTAGAACTGGGGTGTGGAAGTAAAAGAAACATTTCTCAGAATAATGTGTGTGTATCTTTTTCCAGAACCAAAGCCCTTAGACTTTTTGTAGAGCTTTCTGGATTCTTTCTGAATCGGTGTTTTGTGTAAATAAACATAAACGCAGAATGGAAAAGGAATTCTCTAACGAGGCACGTCACCCTATTTCTTGTTCTCCCGCTCTGCTTCGAAGGAAATCTGTCGTAGAAGGACAGACACCAAATAAAGAGTAACCCGAAAGGGACGTGCGAATTTCTTGCGTTTTCAGTGCATTCCCTGGGAATGCAGATGTGCGCATGGCATTAAGAGGAAGGTTAAACGTGTTAGAAGCAAATCAATATTCAGTGTTTGCTGTTTCACAACCAGGCGGTCTCCGATTGCTCTGTTTAGTGCTTCCCAAGGACCTGACCGAGGGGAAGACCTCTCAGTAGTTGTATTTTTGGCCCTAGGAAGCCACAGAAACTGAAAAATTGGTTTCACTTAGGCGAGAACTGGTTACTTTAAATTATCAACATGCACAAATCTGCTCGGTACTCCTTATCAGATGGAGAGCTGGAAAAGATGAGAAACGCGAGGAGCAGCGCTGTCGAGTTACATCATTGTAATAGTATGCCTTCATTTTAATTTCATGTGGGCAGTGTTTTATCACACTCCACTTGGAGCCTTTGAAATGATTTACATGAAGGGGGGGAGCATGTATATCTAACCTGGGAACATTAACCAGACTCCGTTTTCACCGACGCAGTAATAACTATTTATTTGCCGTCCTAGGTGTGCTGGGAATGAGCCTGCGTGTGACTTTTATGAGATCTATTCGCATTTGGTGTTGGAACAACCACGGTTGTTTTTTTTTTTTTAATTGTAACCCTCTGTGTAAACGTTGGCACCTTATTAAAAATTAAATGTTTGAACTTTACTTTTAAAAATAAAACAAGCACAGTCCTCAAGAAGCATGTTGTAAATGGAAGAGATAACTGATTTCACAGCATGTTCCCACCCAGCGGAACCTCTGGAAACCTGATTCCGGTGACTGCCGAAACGTCTGGGGAAGTTAAAGAGTGATTCTTAAGATTTTCATGCAAGATTGTGACGTCGGTTTGGTCAGCTTTAACATCCCTTGGTCTGAGCCTGGTGGGTGATGGCCAAATAACAGTTCAGACGGGAGCTATAAAATTTCCAAGGATGGGGCAGGACCACTGTCCCCAGGCCATCCGTGTGTCTGCCCTGCACACGGGCTGGGCAGGACAGGTCGGGCTGTGGTCTAACGTGAATTCTTTCATCCCTTCAAACTTTATATCTATTACTTTGGGAATCACAAGAGATTAAATTATGCCCTTCCCCACCAGTGTGCTGGTTTTTCTTTTTTTTTCAGCTTTACAAAAATCGGAAGGAAAAAATGCAGAGAATGCCCACATCCCTTTGACCACCTAGAAGAGGCAGTGAGAGGGATCCCTCCTAATTAGGGGGAGGGAACCAGCTGGGGGACAGCCCACAGAGGATCATCCTCAGCACAGGGACCAGCAAATGCAAATGTCCTGAGGTGGAAATAGGCCTAACTTCCTGGGGTCCCACATGAACGAGTGGCTACCAGATGGGTGGTACTTGGAGAGGCAGAGGAAGGTAATCGAAGTGGGTTTTGTTTTTCCTTCGGTGGGAGGGTAACACAGGCAGATGCTTCAGAGTCTTACAGGGCCAGGTACAGACAGGAATTTAGAGGAATGATGTGCTTTGACTTGCATCATACACAAACCATTCTGGCTGTTGTACAGCAGGACTGGAAGCCAGGAATCTGGCTCGGAGGCTATTTCAAATACATGAGTTATGATAGAGGCTCGTCCCAGAGAAGTTCTTGAAATCTGGATATATTTCTGAGGTAGAGCCAGCAGATTTGCTGGTGGCGTGGTTATAAATGGTACAACTAAGTTGCCGTTTACTGACATGGGCTGGACTAGGTGAAGAGCTCCGGGGGGAAGTGCTACCTTGGAGATACCTGTTGGACACCGAAGTCCAGAGTTCAGGGGAATTGTCGAGGTTGGAGACGTAAGTCAAGCCATTGGCATATCAGTGG